AAATAAAAGGGCAAAAGCAACAGCCCTCCAAGGGAATGGAACTCAATAAACTAGACTTCTATCTCCACATTGTGCTATGCTTTAAAATTGCTCTAAATATGATTTAATCTAAATCTATATTAGAGCAAAAGAAAGATGATCGCTCTAACACACATATACACAGAAATGAACACAGACTAATGATGGCCTGGAGGACGACACTCTTCTTTTTCACAGCAAGTAGTTCATTTACTTAATAAAACAAACATTTTTTTGTACCAGTGTATACATTCAATAACAATGGTTGTTATAGATTGATACATAGATGAACATTTGCCTTTAGTGCTGCTGAGAGATGCACAAACATGCAAGGACATTCAAAATCAAAGTATGTACAACCTAAAATCACTAGCAGGGGAAAAGGGGTCACAGACAAAGGTGAGCACAGCACTGGGCACTGCTAAATCTATTGCCCTTCATGAAATTCTCCAGAAACATCTTTTTTTTTTTTTTTAATCTCTGCCATCCATGTTCTATCACTGTTCACTTAGGATAAGGGCTCTCAACCCTCCTAATGCTGTGATCCTTCAGTACAGTTCCTTGTGTTGTGGTGATCCCCCCAACCATAAATTTATTTTCATTGCTATTGCTACTTTGTAACTGTAATTTTGCTACTGTTCAGAGTAGTAATGCAAATATCTGATACGAAGGACAGCTGATACTTGATCTCTAATGGGGTTGTGACCCACAGGTTGAGAACCAGTGACTTAGGAAGTATGTGACACTGTTGACCTTCTAATGGCCAGACTTAACCTTTAAATTAAATTAAACCTCTTAGTTCATTTGGAGTTTGAGAGCTCTTGATACTACATGGTGGAGTAACAATTCCAGATTGTTACTATGAAACATTAGGAATTCACTAAAGGAGGCATGGCAAAGCTTGCAAAGCTTTCCCAGTCTCAAGTTAGGTCACATTTAGTTGCTTTAATGAATCTTTTTGTCGTTTCCTCCCACCGCTATGCATTTTTCTTTATGTTAGAATCTCATCCAAACATGTTTAGATTTCTGCTGCACTTGAGAGTAATTATTCCTATTACTGTACTTTTTTCTTTTTCTTTTTTCTCTCTCTCTCTCTCTCTCTTTTTTTTTTTTTTTTTTTTTTTTTTTTTTGGTCTTTCTGTAACTCACAAGGTTTAGTAAGAGAAATGGGTTTAAAAATAATTGCACTGCAAAGTAAATTAAGTAAAGCCAGTCTAATGACTTAAGTCACTAAAGTATACTAAACTGAAATATACAGAAAAGGCAACTGAACCCCAGAAACACACTACTGATATTGCACTAATTATAAAAAAATTGCTAAAATCATTTTAAATCCAAGATATTCATACACCCAAAGTACCTGAAAGCAGGTAGGCCTCCATGTTTCAGAAACAGAAAACTCATGTACAAGTTTTACTTTCCTTGGCTCCCTTTATAAATTCACTTCTAAACTAATGATTCCCATATGGGACTCGGCAACATGAGATAATCTGAAGCTGTTCTTCGTGACATAAGAGAGTGTACACAAGCAGGTGTTGTTGACAGCATCATTCACGTTCATTAGAGGCTGGCTCAGACACTGTTGGAAGGCTGCTTCTATGTCTACTCCCTCCCTATATAAATGTTTGCTCTGTCTTCAGGGAGATGACTCTTTCAGGTTTGCTTCTATTTTATTCGAGAAGCAGAAAGAAGAAAATTACCTGGATGAAGTTCCAAAAGCAAAGCACAGCATGGTCCTTTGATGCAGAAACTGAAGGAAAGTTGGGGCTTTTATTTAACAGATAGAAACCCGAAGCATGCAGAGTCCCAAGATGGTAGGCCCATCGCCTAGGATGGAGTCCTGGCCTGCTGTGTACTGTTAGGTGCCCTTGGCGGTTTGCCAAGCTGCATTCACCTACCAGCTGTGTTGTGGGTTGTGCACCTATTAACTATATACTCACTAGTGTGAATAGATACAATTTCTGAAAAAATACATCTCATACAAAGGTAGAATGGTGTCATCTCAGCTGATCATGCCAAGAGACCTGCTTGAGTTTTTGTTTGTTTTGTTTTTTTCCTGTGTAGAGGGCTCACATTTCAAATACCTTTCTCCAGCAGGAAACAACAGTGGAAACTAAGGATTGGGAAATTTCCTTGTTCTATGCTTTGGTAAGCTAGATTAGGATCCCACAGAACTCACATTCATGGGAAAGAAATCATTTTACAAGGTGTTAAATATACCTTCAAGTCCTAGAATTCCAACTTCTGACCTCTAGGCTTTAGGGGCTACCCCCATCTCTCCCACTTCTCCATAGTCATGGAGGAACAGACCCAGGGCGTTAGTCAGCAGTTTCTGAATCTTGACCCACAATAGAAAAGATACCTTGAGACAGGAGAAATAGATGGAGGTAATTACAAATAGCTATTTGATTGATGGTTGACATCGTCAGGGTTCCACTGTCTGGCAGATTGCAATGGTGTTGAACTCCCTTTGCTACCAATGGATGTTGCTATTGGCAACCGTGCAGTGAAGCCAATAAAAAGGCAAGAAGATGAGAGGAAAACTCAACCTTAGTGGAAGCCGTAGGGTTTGTGCTGTAAATTATGTCTCCCTCAGCATTGGGTAGCATCAACATCCAGGGTAAGGGGAGCTGCTGTCTCATGGCCGCCTGCAGTCTCTGAAGACACTGACTGGGTCCAATTTTATCATAAAGCAGACACTTGAAAATGTTTGCTTTCCATGGACTGGCATTGTTTTTCTGGCTACTTATTTATTGTTAGGAAGGGTAACAGATGTGGGCTCACTGCAGCCTCACGTGGATGCAGTCTCAATTCCTGTCTGCAATATAAACATTATGTTGTGAGGCTGTGCAGTACGCAGAGACACCTGCAGTGTTTCGGAGCTGCAGACACACAGTGATCTTGCAGACCAGGGTCTGTTCCTAACTCCACCCACCCTTTGTTCTTCACCTGAAGGAGGGAGACAGCTCTGCAGAAGCTATTTTCCTTTATAGCAGAGTGATTCAGAAAACTGGCTTAATAAAATCCATAAATCTGCACGGCCTCCTCTTACCTGCTCTGCAGAGGTGATTTTCTCTGTACTCATACCTCCCCCTCCCAAGTCTCTCCAGCCTTCCCTGCAGGCATAGCTGTAAAGGGCAGCTAGCAACACTCTTTCTTAGTGCACTCACCCCTTCCTTCTCTCCTTTGTCAAGTTTCTTCCTCTGTAATTGTCTCTCTTTCCTGTTCAGTTGATGACATGATTCCGCACCCTCACTTTTGGGAGGGTGCGGTAAGTACCTGTTTTCTTTGTTTGAATCGACTTTCACCTCTCCTTAGCCATTGTCCTAACCATCTACCTGCCTTCACCCTTATTTTCTTCTAGCCCCACCCTTTGCCTGATTTATAATCTTTTTATAAAATCTTGCCATATATAAAAGCTTGCCATAACAAAGCTGCCTTCCTCATGTTGATTGTCAGCTCACCCCACTTTCGTTTTGGTACCTTCATTTTATCCCCCATCTTCAAATACCTGACCACCATTTCTTTTGGGTTTGAGTAAATATCCGATACTGATCAGTAAAAGTAAGAAAAGATGCTTTGTAAGTGTTACTGTTCAGAGCTGGGATGACTGTCAGGTTTCACATCTTCCAGGGGTTTTCTGAGTGCTCAGACACTCTCTTGGAGTAGCATGTATGTGAACAAAGAGATGACGATTTGTGTGGGCTCTGGACCCCCAAGACCTGGGGCTCTGGACCCCCAAGACCTGCTTCAAAGAGATCTCAGTCTTCATCTACCTTGTCTCCTGGGGAGTCCTTGAATGTTTGTTTGGACAAAGGATTTTAATGTTAAGGTTTCTGCAAATAAACTCCTAGTGTAATTTCACTTGACAATTTGGGAAGCAGAGAAATGTGTTCAAAGTCACCCAGCTAATGATGCAATGTGAAGGATAGAAAGCCCAGTGGCTTTGGTTAAGACAGACCCTGTCCATATTGTCTCAGGTGAAACTGGCATCAAAACAGCTTTCTAGTCACATCTATTTAAAACAGTCTGTCTTTTCACCTGTAGACCTGACTTCCTAGAGGATATAGATTGTATAGATGTTATCTCCTAGCCTTTTTAGAATATTCTTTTTTTTCCACTTAAGAAAAAATGTAAAATTGAGGTACCTTACATTTTATCCCCAACCTTTTTCACCTCAAGCTAGTCCGTGCTCAGTAGCAAGGCACTCCTTTGCACTGGTGAAATCTCTCTCTGTCGGAAGCAGTGGTACACGTGGCTGTAGGTTCCCCTTCACCTTTGCTCTAATAAAATGATTAACACATTCCTCCTAGGAAAAGGCTTGGTTTACAATGAAGGCCGAATTCAAAAAACAGAAGAAGTGAACTGTGACCTCACTGCAGAGTTTCAGAGCTTGTGTAACACCGACTAGACAAACACATTCACTGCGTTCCTCCCGGGGACCCTTTTGGGAAGGCTGGGGTTAGTTGGTGCTCATAAGGAGTGGAGGCTCATCCAACGGGAAAATGAAATCAAGGGTCCGGCTCATCACTAAGAAACAGTAGGATTAGAAATGAAACACCTAAGATGCAAATCTGAATTCTTGGTCTGGCGCAAAGTTCTGCTCCAAAGCTCCAAAGCAGGGAAGTGCTTATAACAGAAAAGTGCCATATATGAAAGAAAAACAGTGTTAGTGACGCTTTTACCACGATGTCCCCTCAACTCAGAATGAGTGGGGCTGATAGCCCTCAGGCTCATGGATCCAAATCCATCCGTGTGGGGTCATCACGGAAAGTCGAGGGTCAAGTTCTCTGCCTGACTCTGCCCTTCATCCGTCCATTGCTCTGCTGCCAAGCACACTTTTTGTGTGCTTCCTGGTCCAGTCTACACAGTCTGCTCTTTAGGACTGAGCTGAAAGAAAGGGTCGATGCGGCTGCTGAAGCTGATCCTTCAGGCTGCAGAGGACCCTCCAGGTCACAGGGTTGCACGAGGCTCTGGGTGGTTTACAATCCATCCTCTCCTGCTGCTAGGAGACTCACAGGGTCCGGGGAGGCAGCAGAGACCTGTAGTCTTTTTTGATGTAACTCCTCCCACTTCCTTCGGTTGGCAGCCACTGAATCCAGCATCGGCTTCAATTTTGCATTGACCTTCACCAAGGCCTAAAATAAAGGAGAAAAGTGTGGAGAGAGAGAGAAATGGGTCATGGATATGATTACCTTTCCTCCTCCTGTTTATAAGGGGGATGGAAACAGGTGAAAGGAAACGTTACTTTGGTAAACACAAACTGTTTCTGAGAAGTAGGCATGCGTCCAACACGATTATGTTCTATCCACAAAGCCTGTGCTGAGAATGAAATAAACAAGATGGCCATGCACTACCAGAGGGAAAGGCAGGCTTGTAGGCTCCATCTGAGTTTACAAGTACATCGCACAAAACAGAAGACAAAAAATGCAGCTCACCTTCATCTATTAGTAACCATATCTTTGCCTGCCAGAGAGTTTTGCCTATCAGTAGGCTGTGAACTTAAAAATTTTAAAAAAGTAACCTTGGGATGGCATCTGTCACAGATGCCTGATGAACTTTCCCACATAAGAAAGACCAGGGAAATTCCCAAGGCAAGAGGAGGGACTCAATTTCCAAAAGCAAAAGGGGCTGTGGTCATGCAGAACATACAGATTAACCTGGAGTGACTGCCCGGAGCTACCACTCAGAAACAAGGATGTTGACCAGGTCATGTCTGGGTCTGTAGCCCTGTTGCAGCTTGGGTCTGCATTGAACTCTGTGGCACAAGTTACTGCTAGGGCCCATACAGAGGCCCAGGATCCGGGCTGGAGCCTGCGGCTTGGGTGGGATCTGAAGGCCACACCACAGCAGATGCCATAATGACATGGGTGGCCTGTGCCACCACCGGGGCCAGGATGTCATCTGGGCTCAGGCTGCCACCGAGAGCCATGTCTGGGTCCATAGCTCTGTAGCAGCCAGGGTCATGATTGGCATGCATGGCTCTGTTTGCCACCTAGAGCCATGAAGAAGCCTGGGATCAAACCAATCACCCGAGTCTGGTTTGGTATCCAAGAACAAGGTTGCACCCATATCTGAATGATTTGCACTGCTACTCAGTGACATGGGGATGTCTCTGCCTGAGCTGCAGCTGAGGGCCATGTCAGGGTCCTTGGCCCAACTGCACCCGGGGTCTGTGCTGATGTCTGATGTTCCTGCCACTGGGTGCAGTGGTGACCCAGCTGCTGCTAAAGGACCATATTGGGGTCCATGGTCCTACCATGGCTGGGAGTCTGACCTCAAGTCTGGGTCCTGCATTGCCACTAATAGTTACACCGAAGCCCAGGGTTGGGGCCAGGACCTGAGACCTTGGTAGTATCAGGCCACCACATGGCTGCCAGAACCGTTCTCACCTGGGTGGCCTTTCCCTCCACCCAGAGCCAGGATGTCATCCGGGCCTAAGCTGCTGCCAAGGGCCATCCATGTCTAATTCCATGGTCCAGCCATAGCTGGGTCTGTGTTGATGTCTGTGGCCTATGTCACCTTAGGAGGCTTTAGGAATCATTCCAGAAGGATATATTGAGCCAGCCCCACCCTTCACGGCCCTGGGATAGCTGGCCTTGCCTTTCACTGCCCACTATAGCAGATCAGTTGGTCCCTGCACTTGGGAGAGAAGGCCCCCACCCCTCACTACAGGTGAGGATGAACCTAGCCTGAGGGCATGAGTGTAGTGGGCTCACTCCACCACCACATCCAGGGTAGGTGGCCTTAGTGGCTCAATCCGTCCTCCCTGGCTAACACCCAGGCCCATCACCAGGTCCTGGGTTGACCTAGAATCTACCCCATCTAGATCCTGCTGGTGCTCATGAAGGAACTGGTCCTGAGGAATGATACTGGAAAGATCCCCAAAACACAGGATACCCCAGAAGAGCTCCAGTGAAGATCCAGTGAGGATGGTGAACAAAAACCCAGAGGCCTTGAAACAGACCAGTGGCTTATTGCAATGGACAGTTGCTGGTCAAGCTGATGGGACAAAGGGGTATACTATATGATACACCAAAGCCTCCAATGTCACCAGGACAGATGAAGAGGTGATAGAGAGGAAGAAGGAGAAGCAGAGATTTTTCTGTTTCAGGTGTGGTTTTTGTTCTGTTTTGGTTTATTGTGTTTTCTTTTGTTGTTGCTTTGTATGCTTGCTTGCTTACTTTGTTTTATTTTCTTCAGTGGGGTGGGGGGGATGCAAGAGGGATTATACGGCCCTTTTAAGCCTTATATTCCTTTTAATTCAAACATGTGTTTTCACTCTAGTAGTAACATGTATGGAAACGGATATGATGCCAAGGGAACAGGGTGTGAGAGAGAGGAGTGGAGAGGTATGGGGGAGATGAGGAGAGGGGAAATGTGAGCCATGATCACACAGGGCAGATGGATACCTAGGCTCATGGAACTGATGCCTCGGGGCCTTAATTGCCCAAGAGCCATAGGTCCTTCTAATATATTCTTTTGCATTCAATTACTCTTTTTTAAGAGAAGAGATCCCTACTTCCAAGTGGTGTGAGTGGCTTCTGACCCGAGAAACCCTGCATGGCCCCTGGCAGTGGAATGAGACAGTATGCTGTCTCTTTAGAACTGGATGCTCATGAGCCTTCTGTAGTTTTCGAATCAGTCTACCCAGAGGAGGGGCATGATAGGGTGGGCCGAAGACATTGCCTGTGAACTGGGGTTAGAACAGATTCAGAGAGCTCAGGCTAAGTATCAGTAGCTAACCATCTTACAGGTCAGAAGGACATAGAGAACAAATACCCTGACAACTGGGAAAGCCTTGTTATTCTCTGTTCCATGAGAAAGGTTTTGTTTGTTTGTTTGTTTTCTAGACAGGTTTCTCTGTTATTGCTTTGTAGCCTGTCCTAGGACTAGCTCTGTAGATCAGGCTGGCCTTGAACTTACAGAGATCCTCCTGCCTCTGTCTCCTGAGTGCTGGGATTAAAGGCATGCGCCACCAATGATTGGCACCCCCTGGAAAGTTTTAAACTTAGTCTTTTTCTCTCTGTTAAATGCTTTTTATGAATTTATTTACCTGTAGCATTAGGGATCAAACCCAAGGCCTTGTTCGTGCTGGGCAAGTACTCTACCTCTGAGCTACAACTTTAGTCTTGATATTTTGTCTCTCTCCCCCCCCCATATTTTAATAAGTCTTACTGCTTATCATGAAAGACTTCCACATATTCAACCAGTAAGATATGATTAGCAAAAACATCTGTTAAGTATCTACATGTGAATAAATATAAATAATAAATATCAGTAAAATCATTCACACAGAACATACATAGCAAAGTGCCTAGGGGCCATCTTATATTCTAGACAATCTAATGGTAGAATCTTTGTCTGTGGAAAACCCCTCATTCAGGCTCCAGCAGTAGAAAAAAAAAGATTTGGGTGACAGTCCATTTTTTTGGTTGTTGCTTCTTTTTTTTTTTTTTTTTTTTTAAGTCATTGCCTTGGCTAGCCTAGCCTAGAACTTGGTGTACAGACTAGGCTGGACTCAAACTCAGAGTGATTTTATAGGTTACAGTTCATCATCAATGGAAGCCAAGGCAGGAACTGAACTAGAGACCATGGGGGAGTGTTGCTTCATTTGGCTTGCTTCTCCTGGCTTGTCAGCTGTTTTTCATATATGAGCTGGCCCCACCCTCCCAGGAATGGCACCATTTATGGACATGCCCACAGGCAAATCTGACAGGGGTAGTTCTGTTGCAGTTTCCTCTTTCTATGTTGTCAGTCACGATGACAACTAAGGTTAGCCCAAACTGCTTTTCTCTACACAACACTAATAGAAGGAGCCTGGGGCTGCAGAAGTATTTTTCTTTAGAAAGTTGATGCTTCTAATTGAGCTGTACTTCTTAGGCCAGGGATTAAAACAACCATGGTCGCATGGAGACTCTTTGCAGGTGGGTCCCATTCATTACAAGAGTTGAACCGAGACTAAAACCACAGTCGTTTCTGCACATCTTCCAGAATGCACTCTCTAAGTGTGCCCCGTGGTTAAGGAGTGGTCTGCAACAAAGTCCTCATTCAAAGAACAGTATGTCCTACAGATGTTGAAATATCCTTCCCTAAGCACACCTCAAACCACCTGTCAGTAACTCTGACCTGTCCCCCAAACACATCTGAACGGACAGTGAGGCTCTTGCTGGTTGAGGTACCTCTTCTCTTCACATCAAAGCTCTGTAATATTTAGTCTTACCCATCTCCCATCCAACCATGTGTGTGTGTGTGTGTGTGTGTGTGTGTGTGTGCGCGTGCACATGGGCGCGCACATGTGTTCTTTCCAGTTATCTTTGTCACACTAACTAGAAACATCTCATTTAAAATCTGATGTACCATTTATTTCGCATGCGAATTTAGCAAAGCAACATAATAACCCAGTGATTAAAAATTCCCTTTTCTTCCACTAGAAAAATGCAGATGCTCAAATCCTGCTTAATGCTCAGTGTTTGTCTGTTTATTTATTTATTTATTTTTGACAATAGTGAGAGGCAGCAATGACTGCCATGGTCTTATTGAGCGTGCCTTGGCACGGGCTCCTCTTTACTTTGATCAAGCCTTTTAATTAAAGTGACTACTGTAATTCCTATGGAAATTAGTGTATATGCTATTTTCCTGCTACAAAAGCATTTCTCTAGAACTTATTTTTTTTTTAATCCCAGGAGCACGAATTGGAATTTTTTCTGCTTGAAATGTAATTAAAAACTCATTTGATCACACTATTTCTGGCTCTGTTTTACTTATTAAATTCCTGTAATCAGTTTTCTTTTATGGAGCTGCTGGGAAATGATCTCCAAAGCAACACATTTTTCTCTTCTTTGGCAGGTTCCCGAGCATTTACTAAATTACATTCCTAGCACCTGCCCATGATTCGAATTACTCCACCAATTTATTCTTTAAAGCACTTAAGTTTGTTTGGCTTAGTCCCAAACAGCTTTCCCTCCTAGATATTCTTCTTTCTTCTTTCTCTGCTACCTTTGTGTGCAATATAAGACTGGGATAGGGAAGAGACACCTCTTTCTCAGATTTCTCTCTCTTTGTTTTCTCCTGAGATAGGATTGCCACAGGGAGACTCACTTCCTTAGGACAAGTGTTGACTCTGGACAAAAGTCGC